TCTGATACGTCGCCCAAAGAGTAATTCACTTGGACTAAGTCCATTTGCCAAAGGAGTAGCTCTATATTCCATCAGAGCGAGATACGGATCTTCTGCTTTCTTAAGCAGTGATTTTACAGTCTGGACTGATCTCTCAATTTCACCATTACTCTTTGGGTACATTGGTGAACTAGTGACATGATTAAAACCATTTTCCTCAGAAAACTGTTTGAACTCCAATGATGCATAATTTGGTCCATTGTCTGATCTCAAAGTTTCTGGAATGCCATGGCGACTAAAGATTGATTTCATACTTGTAATTGTGTCTTTAGATCGATATCGGTCTAGCTTAGCCAGCTCCACATATCGAGAGAAATAATCTATCAAAAGTATGTATGTGTTATTGCACCTATAGAACAAATCAGTGCCTACCAATTGCCATGGTCTATCAGGAAACTTTGTAGGGATCATTGGTTCAACAGGATTTGGCTTTACATGGGAACATATTGTACATTTTTGAACAACATCGGCTAGCTGAGTGCTAAGGCCTGGCCACCACATTGATTGTTGAGCTCTAGCTCTGCATTTAACTATCCCTTGGTGACCCTTATGCAACTTTTCCAACATTTCAACTCTAAGAGTGCTTGGCATAACAATTCTAGACCCTCTAAGAAGAATGCCTTCATCTGCAGGACATGAAAATTCAGATTTGAATGGATAGTAAGCTTTAAGTGCAGATGAGAGTCTGGATTTGTCTGGCCAACCATTATTGACATATTCAATGATTTTCTGACAAATAACATCACCATCCTGCTCATTTTTGATTCTCATGAGACCAACATCAGTAGCAGGAATTGTTTTCATGACTGTTTTAACATACAAATCAGTTTCTTTTGCAAACTTAGATTCTCCTACTTCAGGAAGGGGTGCGCGGGAGAGTGCATCGGCTACTATCAAATCTTTCCCGGCAACATGTGAAATCGAGTAATTGAACCTGCTCATCCGGAGCTTGAATCGCTGAATCCGGGGCGGTAATTCACTGAGAGTCTTGGTACCTAGCAATGGCACTAATGGTTTGTGATCTGTTTCAATCTCAAATTTTAATCCAATCAGATACTCTGAAAAGCGTTCGCATGTGCACGTCAAAGCAAGCGCTTCTTTTTCAATTTGCGCGTAGCGCATTTCTGCTTCACTTAAAGATCTAGAAGCAAATGACACCGGTCGCCATTCTTTATCTGACTGTAATTGCCATAAACAGCCCCCTAGACCATAACTGGATGAATCCGCTGAAACTCGCGTATCTAAATTTGGGTCGTAGAGTGCTAGGACTGGAGTCGATTTTACCTCGCGTTTAATTTCATCAAAAGAACGCTGGTGATTTGCTGTCCATACAAATTCAGTACCTTTACATAAAAGTTCACGAAGCGGCTGACTTAGAACAGCAATTTTCTGAGTAAATTTGCTCAACTGGTTAACCATTCCGAGAAAACGGCGGACACCACTGACATCCTTTGGACAAGGCATATCAGTAATCGCTCGGACTTTGGACGGATCTGCGGAAACTCCATTTTGACCAATCACAACTCCGACGAATTTGAGCTCAGTTTTCCCAAAATCACACTTTTCTTTGTTGAGAGTGATTCCCGCCACTTCAAGTTTTTTCAACACTTTGTGTAAACGCGAGTCGTGCTCGGCTTTAGTTTTCCCGTGAACAACAATATCGTCCATGAAACATTGAACTCCCTCAGAATCATCTAGTATCTGGGAAACACGCTTCTGAAAATGCTCGGGCATTGATGCGATACCAAACGGGCAACGTTTAAATGCGTATCTGCCAAACGGGGTTATGAACGTTGTCAACAACTGTGACTGGGTGGACAATGGAATTTGGTAGAAACCAGAATTTGCGTCAAGCTTACTGAAATATTTTGCCCCTGCCAAATTTCCTAAAACTTGTTCAGTTGAAGGTAAAATATATTTCTCAGTTTTTACATGTTTGTTCAGTTTAGTATAGTCAACGCATATTCTTACATCCTCTTTCCCCCTTTTTAACACAGGGACCATGGGACTACACCAATCTGTAGGCTTATCTACTTTAAATATGATATCATCATCCTCCATTTTCTGGAGTTTACTTTTACACAGAGAATACAATGGTATCGGTAGACGTCTAGGTGAATTTACAGCATAAGGTGTAGCATCAGCATCAAGAACTATATTATACTCTGTCTCAATTTTTCCGAGACCTTGAAAAAGTTTCGGATGCTTCCGCTCAACTTCAATGCTGTTTACAACCTTGATAACATTTAAACTTTCAATAGCAGGTCTACCTAACAATGCACATTTGAGATTTTTGGCTACATAAATGTCTTGGGTTGAACACTGAGAATGAGATTCTACTTCTGTAGTAAATTTACCCAAAATATCAATGGCAGTGCCACTAGCACCATACACTGGCACTGTAGATTCTTGCAAATCAACATTGCATGAAGATTGTAGACATTTGAAGGTTTTCTCTGGTATCACTGTGATGTCAGCTCCCGTATCAATCGAGAATAACACTGGCGAGCCACTGACACTAAGATTAATATCATATTTGGCACTGGAAGTACCATCACAATCAACTTTACCAATAAAAGCATAATCATCACTTTCTGAATCACTAGAATCATCATTATAATACACTTGATTCACATTTCTGCTGCGACACATCTTCGAGTAATGTCCTCTGCGGCTACATTTTGAACAGGTACGAGTATATGCCGGACATTTGTCCTTGGGGTGGGGTTGGGCACCACACCTGAAACACTCAGTCATTTTATTCTTGGATCTAGTTTTACCATCACTGGAACCATTGGATTTAGTTTTGCCATCACTGGAACCATACAGTTTTGGTTTACTCTGACGGCTTGAAGAATCCTGTTTACGATGCTCGTTACGATGGACTACTTGTACAAGATTACCTTGAAGTGATTTATTCTGAAGTTTTACCTTCTCAGATTGACGGACCATTGTCATGGCCTTGGCGAGGGTAAGTTTGTCGTCACACTGAAGTTTTTCAGATAAGCGTTTGTCAGTAATGCCAACAACAATACGATCACGGATCAATTCCTCCCGGAGGCCAGCATAGTTACAATGTTCACTTAGTGTGTGTAGGGCAGTAATAAATGTCTCACTTGCTTCACCATCCTGCTGGAAGCGCTGGTTAAATTTAGCTCTCTCGTATATGACGTTAATGTGAGCATTAAAAAAGCTATCAAACTTTTGGCGAATGGTACTATATTTTGAATTGTCCTCACCTTCTTCATACACAAAAGTTGATGAAATCTCCTCCGCTTTTGGACCCATACAATATATGAGCGTGTCAATTTTGACAGAGTCCACATCCTCAGAAACTTTCGAAGCAGTCAGATAGCGATCAAATCGCTTACTCCACAGCTCCCATTCTTCCGATTTGAAGGAAAATGTTGAAGGAGGTGTCATTTGAAACGATGCCATAATGACCAGCAGCAAGTGGAATACAATAACACAGTACAGGATACAAAGTTTCGAAGTATAAATCCAATCAGGTAGCATGTAGATATATATATATACAGTGTCAATACAGCAGAATATACAAGGTAGATAAGTTTATAACGAATGTAGAGCGACAAATGTTCAGCAATTTATAAAGTTTGTAAATTTCCTCCACGGAACTCAACTTCCGGTTCACATGAGATCTAATTTTGAACGAGGTACTGGTCCAAATATTGCAAACGGCTCGGATTCTGTATCTCAAGTCGATCTGACACCATGTGGTGTTATATACTTAACACTAGACTAACAGTTTATAAGATTATCAAGACTTTATTGCTGGATAAAACTTAGGACCGCATGGCTTCTACATCCGGGCACTAGACAGCCCAATCTGATGACGTCACACATTAAGGTGGACGATGAGTTAACATTTAAGGTGTACAGAGTGACTAACACTACACTAGCTACAGTCCTGTGTGAGAAACGATGATCTGCAACCTGATGTCCAATCAAGATCATCCAAATATCTATGTATTCCTGACACGTTTGAGCATCTGATAATGACAATGTCTACCCAAAGTTTGCATGCGAAATTGACATAATTCATGAATTTTTTTTTTGTGTGAGAAGAAAGATCAAACTTAACCAGTGCCATGAATAATATATATATGATATCCTAGTTGCATGTTGACACCCAACATTAAATTGTACTTCAAAGTCACAAGATAGATAGCAGCTAAATCATTAGATTCATGAAACTGCATCAATGATTTGCATATAATGTGTTTTAAGTAATTGAAACTAGGTGTCAGTATCCTATTTTACATGATGTGTTCTGTATTTATGATTTATAGTTGCTAGCCATGAATGGTATTTTGCAATTCAGTAAAACTATAAGTCTTTGGGGTAATACTAGAGAGCTTTTGATATAAGTTATTTGGAATACGTATACGCAAACCTGTACTTGTACAAGTCAGGTATAGCACTGGGGAGGAACTCTGGAAACGAAGATAGGGTGCTTCCATCCTTCAAATCACAACAAAATATTTTAGTATGTACTTGTAGTTTGTGAGTTTAGGTTCAAAATATGATTAAAACTTAGAAATTAATTCAAATGCTGGGATATTAACAAATCAATTCCCTCGATTAGGAAACAAAGAAGATTTTTCTAATGTTATGTGCTTTCCTGGTTTCTTTGAAAAAAACCTTCATCCCCATTGGCTGAAAACTTAGATCGAAAGCTCTCTATTCATTAACAATATTTCTTATGGTATACTGTAAAACCTGTCTAATCTGAACGTCTCTGGGACTATGTTCAGATTTGCAGATGTTCACATGCCAAGGTTTTCTGAACATGTCAGTCAAGGGGAGATAACAAGTGGACCAAAAAGTGTTCACATTGGGAGATGTTCAGATTAGAAAGGTGTTCGGATATACAGGTTTAACTGTGTACCTGTTATGACCTTTTCAGCTTAGCTATGCCATGCAGATACTTATATTGATACCTATATATTAACCATATACTATATGTGGTGCATAGTAATTTGCTCTCATTTTGATGAGACCTTTGTTCTAAGTAATAATTCTAATGTTAAAATAACATATTTATTGAAACACTTTCAGCTTTCAGCGCATCTCTCGAAGAAGCTGAATTGCATCTTAGACGGGTCCTACCAACAATCACTCCTAGCGACAACCAATCACAATACTCGAAAATGTCACAAGGTAGCTTCTCACTAAGACAGCAGTGTAACGCACCCCACGCTTATATCACACTTTGTTTTATTTATTTTCATGAATTGAATGTTGAATTTTTAGAAATGGATTATGAAAAAGCAAGGGGTCGTGAGTTCAATCCCAACTTGGTTAGACAGACTATTTCACATCATTCTTTAGCCTACCACAGGATTTCATTCTGTATTTTAGAAAAAATAATTATGAGAGCAAATAAATTACATATTCCTTTGTCTTCAACCAATATATTCACTTGTTTATGAACTACAGTTTAGTTATGAAGTTTAAACAAAATGCTGCATACTTTTTGGAATGGGAGTATTAAGAAAAATTTAACATTCAATTCATAATTTTTACTTCACTATATGTAAAATTATATGTGATTTTATTTCCAGCATATATTTACATGTGTATATTTATTAGATGTTTATGTGTCTTCATTTCATTCTATAGGTTAAGGGTTTTTATTATAATATGTTACAAATAAATAACTATTTATATTGTTGTTTTTATTATCTCATTCAAGTTCTACGATTTGAATCAAAGAATTTTGAAAATATAAAAGCAATGTAAAATGAAACACCACTGGGATTGGCCAAAAGTGTTTTGATTGATCTGTGTTCTTAGTTCACAGGTTTTATATTATATACTCGACTAACACATTTCTTCCAGTCATTAAAGAATAACACGTTGACCAACTGTTCAGAATTTTGACAATCAGAAATTTTTCAATAAATTTAAAGAATAAATCTGGAGGAGAATTACTTTTGAGTTCCACAAACATTTTGATCTATCCAAGTATTATTCACTGCTACCCACCTAATTACACAGACGTATCGTCGGTGTATCATGGCGGAACTTCCTCCGGGACTAGGTTTCGGTAAGATTTTTTTATTTCTCGAACGAACGACCAATATCAGTGTAATATTGGCAATATTAATGCCGATCGTCAGTGTAAGAAAAGCGAGGGACTAAATACGTGAATTGTGTCTTTGTTAACATATAAAACCTAAAACCATTGACACATTCTCAAACTAGACTATCTTCCTTAAAGGCCCGGTCACACCGCCCGGACGTTGCTGGAGCGTTCCTTGAACGTTGAAAAAATTCATCAACGCTCGTCAACGCGCACAAAATGGGGAAAAAAACAAAAACACGGGCGTTGGCTTAGCGGTGCACCGCTGAAGCCGGCGTTTGCTTTGGCGTTGGTTAAGCGGTTGCGAACGGTAGCTAGCGTTTGTTTAGCGGTAATGCGAGCGTTGGTATAGCGGCGTTCTGCGCATGAAAGCGTTTCCTTGGCGGGGGTATAAATAGCAGCAGCGTTGGTTTAGCAGCATATCGCGTTTGACTACTGGGAAATTATTTCAAGTGGGAAGTGTTTAAGAGTAAAGACCTTTATTGGAATTTGTAACTTTAACAAAAGTCCTTCAAGGATTAAAGAAGAAATGTTTTAAATCTAAAGTGCTTCTATTAATGTAATATGACATTAATAATGAATAACATTACAATTTTCTTTAATAATCTCTCATATCATTTCAAACAAACATATCACAATTTAATCGTTGCATTTCCATTACTTGGAACCGATTTACGTTCAAATTGCTTTAACAATGTCAAATAACATTTACAGCAAAGTAATAATCATGACGCATGACAAATTTTTGCATTGCTGTGCGCGCATCAACTTTTTGTATAATACCATGACGAGTGCAACATTTTACAAGCTGCGCAGAAAATTCACAGATAATTTATTGAATTGCTTGACGTGAAAACACTAGGTATATACTATATTTGCATAAAGGTCTCAGTAAAAGTCTATTTGTATTAACATTTAATGAAAAACAAAAATAGCATAATTCACCTTTTTAAAATCCAAAATCACAAACTTTGAGCGCTTAATTTAGGAATTTACAATGCAAAAATTGAAATGCCAGACATGAATATATATCAAATGTAAAATGCACAAGTGTCTCCACAGTGTTCTATACAGTGGTGCATTTCTCCGCGTATTTATAGCCAAATTCTGGTCCCGCTCCGACACCTCTATACCAACGCCAAAGCAAAGTTCATCGCCGCCATGGAACGCTGCGACAACGTCCGACACCGTTCCAACAACCCCATGTACGCTGATAAAACGCTAACAACCGCTCCAACGACGTTTGTGCAACGTTTAATCGCCGCCCGGGCAACGCTGGCGAAGCAGCAGTGGTCCAGCGTTTAAGATTTCTGCGTTGGTCTAGCGGATTCAAGCGTCCACGAACTTGCGTCTAGCGGTGCCAAACTTTGACTGGGCGTTGGTGGAGCGGTGATAAACTTTGCCAGGGCGTAAAATTGTCCCTTTTTCAACACTCGCAATATTTTGAGCAGCTCAAAACTTTTGGAGCGTTAGGATGGCCACTCGAGAAACATCCGCGTTGGCCGAGCGTTTACAGCGTTGCTTTAACGGATGCCAACTTTTGTTAAACGGTGGTGAACGTTTACGAGCGTTGATGATTTTTTTCAACGTTCAAGGAATGCTCCAGCAACGTTTAGGCGGTGTGACCGGGCCTTAACTTCGAGCCAAATTATTATCCACAACGTGTCTTATAAGTAGGTGTAAATCGGGAAATAAAAAAATCTTACCGAAACCTTGTCCCGGAGGAAGTTCCGCCATGATACACCGACGATACGTCTGTGTAATTAGGTGGGTAGCAGTGATTATTGTGAAAATATAAAAAAGATCAATTTTTGTCCAACTTGTAAATCAATTTCTTTCACAGGATTTGAAAGTGATTAAAGAAATATGCTCAATTTGAAATTGTTGATTCAGAATTTTAGAACTTGAATTTTGTCTTAGTTTTTAGATAAGGCTATGGCTACACTGTTATTATATATTTTTACGTAATATGTATTTTAATAGATGTCTCTACACACATGCAAGGCATTCTTGTTGATATAAAATATTCATTTATGCACTCCGTTATACCAGTTTGATTTTACTTTACATTGTTGGACACAACAAAAATGAAGTTTTGTTTGAGACCAAAAACAAGAATAGGTTGAATAAGTATGTACAACTTGTATATTTAATTTGTTATACTGTATTTACGACTTTTCAATTTGCACAACAATTATATGAATAACAACACCCTATTTTCACTTATAAGACCATGTTCTGTATGGTGAATAAATCTTAGTTTTACACAGGCCTTGCATTAACTCTGCCCAATACATGTTAAGGACATTTTTGGAGGACACAAAATCAAAAATATTTCTGTTTTTAGGACACAGAAATCTTTTAGGTCAATACTACAGCACTGGTATTTAACATTATGAGTATGAGTTTGATGTTAAGTTTGAACACTAAAGAACATTGTGAGGGTCAGCTTGAATTCTTAATTTTGAGAGAGTCAAAGAAAATCAGCCGACAAAATTAACCTAAAGATAAAGTTTCTGTGAAAGTAATACCTCAAAACAGGCTTGTAATGGGGACACACTTTTTTGAAAGGACACATTTTTCAAAAAAATTGCTTCCTTGGGACTCACAAATTTTCAAACCTAATGCAAGCCCTGACTCTAGTAAGATAGATAGAGACTGCTGCACCAAAGGCACCTGTGTGTATATGTATTTAGTTGTTTCATTCTTGTTCACGGATAAATTATAATAAGACTACTTGTAGTTATGTCATAATTTAACTGCCACGGAAACATGTGTTTCTTAACAGTCTGGTGGCTCCCTCTATTACATAGGAGTATAAAGAGCTTTATAAAACTTGTAAAGATGTCACTGTCAGCATTCACATTTGGAGGTGTTCAGATTAGAAATGTATTTAAATATACAGGATTCAATGTATACATATTTATGTTTATGATATCCACACCATCACTGAAGTAAGCATGTCTTGTTCCTGTTCCTGATTCAGATTTCAATTGTACATAACCATTTGAAAATATGAAAAATCATGAAATTTGCATTGTATAAGTTTGACCAACTTTGGGAAGAAATGTGAAAAATGAGGATTTGCAACTTCTTAAAAGAAAAAGTTGTGGAAACGACTCTACATGTAGTTGAACTGTATAAGAACTCCAGAAGGGTGTAGCAGCCAGTATAGCTACCCTTCCCAGTAAAAAATCTTTATAAAATCGAATTTTACAGAAACATTTTGAATGAAGATATCTATTTTCTCAGAATATTTTGTAACTCATTATGGGAACCACACTTCACTTGATATACACAGGTCCGTCTAGATAATTAGATAAAAAAGGACTCTGATTTATTGGAATGTTTTTAACTGGAGCTAATCACTTATTCATTTCACGTCCTTTACAAAGATTCACATTTCAATTTTACTTCAGTGGACATTCACTTATATCAGATCAAGGGGATTTCCCCGCCTTAACCTACTACTTAATGATTTGAGTTATTACCCTGCCATGCTCACCTTAATTCACAGGGGCAGTCATCAGTCAATCTGTAAGTGATCCCTCATGTCAATAAACTCTTAGTCTTACTCCTTACTCCTGGATCTGACATTCCCCGTTAGTAGGGTCTCAAGATTCATAATACGTCCTTTACTCCTACCCAATCAGATTACTTGATTTGTTTCGGGGGATTACAGGATGTTTATCGCAATAGGGAGAATGAGTAATATATTCTGTACACCATTCTTTAAGATGATGATATCAGCCTGTATGATAAATTGTTGGCTGGTAATAGGTAGTGGTCTGAATTTTCAAATACACAGTACAGTAGAACTTGTATATTGGAACACCTCTCTGGTCTGAATGCCTCTAAATATGAACACTTTTATCAGTCCAATTTTTATGTAACAACCAAAAGTTATGGTCTCAGTTTTTTGTGACAGCCGTTGGTGTCTGTAATAGGGGTTGGTGTCAAAAAGGTATTTTTCATCTTGCTTCAAATTGTCCAATTGTTTTTCAAAATCATCCACAAGTTCTCAGAAGCTCAAATCTGACTTAAGATTTGACCTTCTCAAGGTAAATAACGGTAAAAAAGGTATTTTTTCAACTTGATTCCAATTGACCCAAATTTTCCAAAATCACTTACAAGTTATCAGAAGTTCAAATCTAACTTCGGATTTGACCAGTTTATTGACCTCCTCAAGGTAAAAAAGGTTATTTTTCACCATGCCTCAAATTGACCAATTTTTTTTCAATATTATATACAAATTCTTAGAAGCTCTCAAATATCTGACTTTAGATTGAACTCATCTTGTGACATTTTGTCATGTTAATGCCTTGTTATTCATTGTATCCCGACTACCTTAATCCCAATATAAGTCAAACATTGGATTTAGGAATATTGTGTTATAGCATAATTACAGGAAAGGGAGAATATGTCTTTAGAGGACCATAATTCCACCATTCACGTACAAGTTCCTAGAAAACTTAGCTTAAACTCCCTATTGTAACCAATTAAACACATTCATGTACCTCCCTATTACAACAAAAGATACAGTAGATGAAGTTATTACAATGATTAATGACACCAAGACATGGTGAATGAGTGACTACATAAACCTAATGAAGGAAATCAATAGGATGAAGCCATTCAGAAAAAGATTAATGATAAAATCTACACTATTGATATCATCTTGGAATGCTTCAAGAAATTTCAAGAATTTCTACTTTGTTTGTCACTATGAATAATGTCAATTCGGTCATGGGTGTAAAATCCTGAAAAATTACATCATCAGAGAATAGAGATCTGAAGACATGGTTATATTAACTAACTTTTTAATAGCACACATTGGTGGCTGATTCAATGATAATAACTCTTACAGACAGCTCTTAAGACAGGTTCAACCAAATAAAACCAAATGACGAAAACAGTCATTCAGATTCAACTTAGCCCTACAAAATGAATGCCTTCTAAACTAGCACTAAAACCCCCAGAACTGCCCCCCGGCAAGGTGGTAATAATACAATTCCAAAATGAATGCCTTCTAAACTAGCACTAAAACCCCCAGAACTGCCCCGGCAAGGTGGTAATAATACAATTCCAAAATGAATGCCTTCTAAACTAGCACTAAAACCCCCAGAACTGCCCCGGCAAGGTGGTAATAATACAATTCCAAAATGAATGCCTTCTAAACTAGCACTAAAACCCCCAGAACTGCCCCGGCAAGGTGGTAATAATACAATTCCAAAATGAATGCCTTCTAAACTAGCACTAAAACCCCCAGAACTGCCCCGGCAAGGTGGTAATAATACAATTCCAAAATGAATGCCTTCTAAACTAGCACTAAAACCCCCAGAACTGCCCCGGCAAGGTGGTAATAATACAATTCCAAAATGAATGCCTTCTAAACTAGCACTAAAACCCCCAGAACTGCCCCGGCAAGGTGGTAATAATACAATTCCAAAATGAATGCCTTCTAAACTAGCACTAAAACCCCCAGAACTGCCCCGGCAAGGTGGTAATAATACAATTCCAAAATGAATGCCTTCTAAACTAGCACTAAAACCCCCAGAACTGCCCCGGCAAGGTGGTAATAATACAATTCCAAAATGAATGCCTTCTAAACTAGCACTAAAACCCCCAGAACTGCCCCGGCAAGGTGGTAATAATACAATTCCAAAATGAATGCCTTCTAAACTAGCACTAAAACCCCCAGAACTGCCCCGGCAAGGTGGTAATAATACAATTCCAAAATGAATGCCTTCTAAACTAGCACTAAAACCCCCAGAACTGCCCCGGCAAGGTGGTAATAATACAATTCCAAAATGAATGCCTTCTAAACTAGAACTAAAACCCCCAGAACTGCCCCGGCAAGGTGGTAATAATACAATTCCAAAATGAATGCCTTCTAAACTAGCACTAAAAACCCCCAGAACTGCCCCGGCAAGGTGGTAATAATACAATTCCAAAATGAATGCCTTCTAAACTAGCACTAAAAACCCCCAGAACTGCCCCGGCAAGGTGGTAATAATACAATTCCAAAATGAATGCCTTCTAAACTAGCACTAAAAAACCCCAGAACTGGGAAATTTATGCATTTTGATGCAATATTCTTAGTTTACCGTTGCAAACGATAAATGTGTGTCTAAAGTACTAATTGTTCAGAAAATAAAATACAGGTTATACAATTTGATAGGAGCTCAAGGAATTTCAATTCTTAAATAAATGTGAAGTATTTTTTCAAAATGTATAGAGTGTCACAAAAATATGACATTGTTACACATTGTCAAATTTGTGCCTTTGTGTGAATGAATATAGTCTTGTATTATAAATAAATAAATAAACAAAGTACCTTCTTATGTTTATGAATACATGTGAAACAAACAGGATAGCTGCAAAAGGAAAGAAAATATGTGACATAAAATATGTGCACATGTCTGATCTTTAATAACATGTGGTTTCAGGTGCCAGTAGCCTATGTGTAAGGTCCAGGATGTCTGCCTCTGCTGCATCAATACAGGGGGCACCACCATCTGTAGGATCACCAGCGCCATCTGTAGGACAGACTATGCATAGTCGTGCCCCAAAGATAGGGGACATTCCAAGGTAAGATTCTTATATGTATGAGGAGTTTGTTTCTATGTCATTGGTGTTTAGCGATCAGTGGTCAGCATCTGTAACAAATGGCAGGTGGTGACATTTTGCAAGTTGATGCCTTGTATGATTCTGGAAAAAGATCAGAAGATGTTATGCTCTATATTAGATATATTTATTGTAACATAATTTCAAATACTTATATAAAGTGAAACCATTTGCGTTAATATAACATTAATATTTATCATAGACTTAATATCAGTTAAGTCTTCTAAGACCATAGGATTTCCTGGATGCCATATAGTTCCTGTATCTGTCTACTCAAGTGTCAGTGATATGTCTTGTTCAGAAGATGGTGACTCGGGATGTCATCTCTATTGCAATAAAACTGTATATTTGATATAAAAGCTGCTGGAGGAGAGCACTATGAAAGACATAATGAAGATATAGGTGAATTTCATATAAGATATTTTAGAGGTAATGGCAGATTAATCTAACTTTGGATGATCTTTCCAATGGTATATCACAGTAGATACCACTGCTAAATGCTTGAATATGCTTGAATTGTGTTTGTTAACCAATAAATGAATTAAGTAGAATATGCAAAATTTGAATACTTTCCTCTGATCGGGTCATCCATATCTATGCATAAAAACTTGTCAAATAACCTAAAATTATATTTTACTTCCTACAGGTTAAGCTTCCCTATGCATTTAAATTGCAGTTACATGTAGTTGTAATTACCTACTGAAATCAATTGATTTGTTCCCATGGAGCATGACGTGACAGTTTTATGCAGCGATAGGTCAGTGAAGAGCATAATGAGATTTTAGTAGATGAGTGTTCATTTGCACTTTTTTTTATTCAAGCAGAATATTAAATTGTGCAACATTATATTTTGAAATATCTTTCTCTTGAACATTGGTTTTAAAGAATCTCCCTTATAATGCATTGAATAACCATAAATTGGTGCAAAACAAAGTGATTATTTTCAGTTATGCTTGACTCTTCTCACCCCTACTGTAATATAATACAATTGATAATGTATTTAGAGTTTATCAAGTTGAACACCTGAAATATAAGTGGAATACCTATACAAGTAGAACATTTCACAATTCTTGACTCATTGACTTCATGTTGATTGAACCTCTGCAAGTGGAACACCTCTATAAGTTGAACACCTCTATAAGTTGAACACCTCTATAAGTTGAACACCTCTATAAGTTGAACACCTCTATAAGTTGAACACCTCTATAAGTTGAACACCTCTATAAGTTGAACACCTCTATAAGTTGAATACCTCTATAAGTTGAACACCTCTATAAGTAGAATACCTCTGCAAGTGGAACACCTAGTTAGAACAGTTCGTCATCCTAAGTGGAACATCATTTAGTGGAACCAAGAGTGTTTCACTTTTATAAGTTTTTCTGTATATCTGTAGAAAAAGTCTGTTGTGCTTACCTTTGGTGTGTTCGAGCGTTAACTTCAGTTTGAGCTAAGCGATTGGGCGTCGTAACCACGAGGTTGCGAGTTTGAGACGCGTGTGCTCCTTGTGTTTATTCATTCATTTTATGCTGCGTTTAGTTTAGAGGTGTTCATTTAGAGATGTGTTCATTTAGAGAGGTGTTCTTTTAAAGAGGTGTTCATTTAGAGGGGTGTTCATTTAGAGATGTGTTCATTTAGAGAGGTGTTCTTTTAGAGAGGTGTTCATTTAGAGAGGTGTTCATTTAGAGGGGTGTTCATTTAGAGATGTGTTCATTTAGAGAGGTGTTCATTTAGAGAGGTGTTCATTTAGAGGGGTGTTCATTTAGAGATGTGTTCATTTAGAGATGTGTTCATTTAGAGAGGTGTTCATTTAGAGAGGTGTTCATTTAGAGAGGTGTTCATTTAGAGGGGTGTTCATTTAGAGATGTGTTCATTTAGAGAGGTGTTCATTTAGAGAGGTGTTCATTTAGAGAGGTGTTCATTTAGAGGGGTGTTCATTTAGAGATGTGTTCATTTAGAGAGGTGTTCTTTTAAAGAGGTGTTCATTTAGAGGGGTGTTCATTTAGAGATGTGTTCATTTAGAGATGTGTTCATTTAGAGATGTGTTCATTTAGAGAGGTGTTCATTTAGAGAGGTGTTCATTTAGAGAGGTGTTCATTTAGAGGGGTGTTCATTTAGAGATGTGTTCATTTAGAGAGGTGTTCATTTAGAGAGGTGTTCATTTAGAGGGGTGTTCATTTAGAGGGGTGTTCATTTAGAGATGTGTTCATTTAGAGAGGTGTTCTTTTAGAGAGGTGATCATTTAGAGAGGTGTTCATTTAGAGGGGTGTTCATTTAGAGTGGTGTTCATTTAGAGATGTGTTCATTTAGAGAGGTGTTCATTTAGAGAGGTGTTTATTTAGAGAGGTGTTCATTTAGAGATGTGTTCATTTAGAGAGGTGTTCTTTTAGAGAGGTGTTCATTTAGAGAGGTGCTCATTTAGAGAGGTGTTCATTTAGAGAGGTGTTCATTTAGAGAGGTGTTTATTTAGAGAGGTGTTCATTAAGAGGGGTGTTCATTTAGAGAGGTGTTCATTTAGAGAGGTGTTCATTTAGAGATGTGTTCATTTAGAGAGGTGTTCATTTAGAGAGGTGTTCATTTAGAGAGGTGTTCATTTAGAGATGTGTTCATTTAGAGAGGTGTTCATTTAGAGAGGTGTTCATTTAGAGGGGTGTTCATTTAGAGGGGTGTTCATTTAGAGATGTGTTCATTTAGAGGGGTGTTCTTTTAGAGAGGTGTTCATTTAGAGAGGTGTTCATTTAGAGGGGTGTTCATTTAGAGGGGTGTTCATTTAGAGATGTGTTCATTTAGAGAGGTGTTCATTTAGAGAGTTGTTCATTTAGAGGGGTGTTCATTTAGAGGGGTGTTCATTTAGAGATGTGTTCATTTAGAGAGGTGTTCTTTTAGAGAGGTGTTCTTTTAGATAGGTGTTCATTTAGAGAGGTGTTCATTTAGAGGGGTGTTCATTTAGAGAGGTGTTCATTTAGAGATGTGTTCATTTAGAGAGGTGTTCATTTAGAGAGGTGTTCATTTAGAGAGGTGTTCATTTAGAGGGGTGTTCATTTAGAGGGGTGTTCATTTGGAGATGTGTTCATTTAGAGAGGTGTTCTTTTAGAGAGGTGTTCTTTTAGAGAGGTGTTCATTTAGAGAGGTTTTACTGTATTAAGAAGTATTTACTGGATTGTTCTTTGGTGTTGTGGTGGTTGAGTGTTTCAGAATCCATCTACTGAAATCTAATTTGATGCGGAGTGTCCCCCCAATTTGTATGCCAACATGGCTTGAAAGTAATATGTTCTAACTTGCCGTCAAAACACATTGTCCTATTCACTATGTTCACAAACATCCCCTTGGTCATTTCATGTCAAATCTATTCTCTCACTCTCAATAAATGGGTAAAATCTTTTGACATATCTATTGATTGCAATTTTTCAATTTCTTCCTTTTTTCACTCCAGTTTGTGTTTTATATGGTCAACCTCACGATTAATTCACAGAAATGCTATTGAGCGGGGAAGGGCGATGATGAAAGAATTCTAGCTCAGCTTGAGTGTCACGTGAAGTAGGTCTGGTATAAGGTTATAGCCGTAAATAACATGCTCACAATTAGAGAATGTGACATTTTTACACATGATCTTGTGTTCGATCAAACAGCTGAACAATTTTTGCGCTTAACTTGGTATATTGACTACCCTTCACATTCGTTTGACTTAGCTTTCCACACACTATTTAAGAGCAATCTTTGAACCTGCCTAACGAACTAAAGCTTCTCATCGCCAGAAGGATGATTTTCTATATATGGGCATTTCTTCTGAAATGATTGTTTATTGACCAATGTTAAGCATTATTTGAACTTTCTTCTTGCTGATTTGTTGCGTAAATGTCACATCCAGGCAATGACGGCCAGTGGTCTAGGATGTAGGCCCACTAAACTGTAAAATTGTCTTAAAAACTATACAAACTATACAGGCTTTGGTGCACCATGATTTATACTAATACTGCCATAATGCTAGCAGCCATAATACTAGCAGGCATGATACTAGCAGCCATAATACTAGCAGCCATGATACTAGCAGCCATGATACTAGCAGCCATGATACTAGCAGCCATAATACTAGCAGCCATGATACTAGCAGCCATAATACTAGCAGCCATGATACTAGCAGCCATATTACTAGCAGCCATGATACTAGCAGCCATGATACTATCAGCCATAATACTAGCAGCCATGATACTAGCAGCCATAATACTAGCAGCCGCGATACTAGCTACCAGCCTTGAGATGTTTTTTTTCTGTTTTCAGCATCTCAGTTTTGTTATTCCTCCAGATCAAGTTCCCCTATATAGCAAGGGATGAGTTGTCAATGTTTTCTACCATAATCAATCAATACCTATTATGGCTATATAAAGCAGTCAAAAGCTTGAGGGAATATACCTCGATTGCTAATCTTCTCAGCCAACCGCAGTAGATGAAAAATAATGTCTTCATTTGGCAGACTCCCAAGTCACTTCGTTTCCTTAGGTAGTTTTGGTAAATTGTTTTAGTGTCGACAGTAAGCTCAAAATGCTGTCGCTGTCGTTATTTAACCAGATTATCTGCTATTTTGTAAATCGAAGAAGCAAATGTCAAGCTCATTGTAATATTGTATTTTTGAGCGCTATGTTCACACGCTTCTGAATTTGTATTTTTCAAGCTACGGCATTGTGAAATCTTCGAGATACTTTTAAATCAGACTGCATTTTGAGAAAAAAACATCTGAAACAAATTGTTATACTTTTTTAACAACTGGCAATAACTTGCCAGGTGACATTGTGTCATGTTATTGCCAGGTGGTGATATTGTGTCATGTTATTGCCAGGTGGTGACATTGTGTCATGTGATTGCCAGGTGGTGATATTGTGTCATGTTATTGACAGGTGGTGATATTGTGTCATGTTATTGCCAGGTGGTGACATTGTGTCATGTGATTGCCAGGTGGTGACATTGTGTCA